CTCGCTACATCTTTGAAAACTCACACTGTACCTGAAAAATTTGGTAGCTGCCAACCAAAGCACGTTCACGAACTGCAAGGCGCGATATCCATGGATCCATCTATACAGAAGGGGAACGGGGAAGCCGTGGCCAAAAAGGAGGGTGTAATGTTTGCACAGCTGTAAAAGTGCGTACCTGCTCTTCTCCTCCCCATTGGCTCCGCGGCAGCAATGACCGAGGCACCAGTGGCAAAAGGAACGCCCCGATGGGTCTGAATTGTCCCATTCAAGCAGCTTCAAATGCAATCGTCTTCTCTTGAGTGAGTAGGACCCATCTGTAGAAAAAAGGTTGCAAACACGGTTGCGTGCCTGACGCCATGTTTTTGCTTCTTCTGGCAATGCAGCCACTGGAATTGATCTATAGCTATCGCAAATTTCACTGATCAAGGCTCCTCTAAACTTCTTTCTGAAGGATCCCATCTCGAACAAATGGGCGAGGCGCACGATGGCCGACCACAACCCGGGATAGTGGCAAGTGATGCTCTTCCGAGCCAAACCCAACTGATGTAACAGACAAATGTTTGCCAGTAAGGGGTACAGGATGTTGAATCCGTCCTCTAAGTGCTTCAGGTGCACCATCACTCGAAGGTATTTTAAGATTGCCAGGTTCGTGACTAGAGAGTCCCAGCAAATCAAAGTTGCCTGGATTGGAATCGGACTAAACATTTCAGAGCAGAGACCAAAAAGCTGGAAACGGGCTGACACCTTTCCAGCGAAGGTGACCAGCCAGCTCCGTAGCTCATGAACGATGCTTCCAGCGGTGGTTTTTGGTAGCACAATCAGTGGTGAGTGAACCAAAAACGTGTGACGCTGAGATTCTCCTTCATCAACTTTGCATGTCACGACCAACGACTGCATCATATTCATGACGCTCACAACTCTGGATTTGCGCCAGTCGGTATCGATGGCTTCTGACAGAGTCATGTTTGTATCGTCTACCACAGTAGTGGTAAAACAGTGAGTCGCAGTTGGCCCTGCACTTTGGAGGAAGCTTCCCAAAGCTGCACACCAAGCCTTCATCCAAGAGAAGACTACTCTCAATCGTCTCCACCTCTCTGGAAGGGAAGAATGGCCAGGTTTGTTTACCTCTGGCCGTGGCTGCAGGTCAGGCTTGTACATAGCAGCTGGGTGCAATGGGGCTTCCTCAGAGGGCTGTGACTTCCGTTTGGCCCGTGCCAGCAAAGCTGCTGCACGGGCCTTCTCTGTTTGGGCCCTCCGCTTCAGCTTCAGCAATTCACTGTCACTTGCACCATGGACACCCATTTCACTCTCGATGGACTCATTTGGTGCTTCTTCACTGGAGCTGGCATGCGCAATGCCAAAACTTGAAGATTCAGAATCTGACTCCTGAGATTCCACGGGCACTGCTTCTCTTCGGGATTGGGATGTTTCGAGATGCCGGCAAAACCGCTCAAAGAATGGCATTCGTGGCTGACGGTCTAATGCTTCTGGAGTAGTGTCACTGTAGCAGCTCCTGTGTTGTCAGTTTACCTAAGCGACTACTTTACTGTTTTTACTTTCTATTGGCTGATTAGAAGATTGAAGTTTGAAGTGCTTGGTAACACTTGGGGTTTGTGCAGACTGCATTCTGTTTGTATTACATTACTTCATAGACTGCTGAACAGACTAGTGACTAGCGGGTTTTATTTGAACTTGTTGCCCGACCTTTCCTAACCTCAAAGCTGCGATCACATACAGGCACAGGATTCTCTCACTCCCGCCCCAGTGAAAATAAGTCCGTCAAAAACGTTCCCCTCGGGCCATTCTCAGCCTGATAGCGCATCCACTCTCCTGGAAGCGATTCTGGAAAAGGCTGCGTGATAGACCACACCTTAGATTGGGCATGGACAAATATAATCCAGACTGTCCAGACTGGAATTCCACAGTGAAACACGGAAGCACTGACACATTTTCTTTGCTGAGCTCAGCAAAGACTAGCACTTGAAACAGATGTCATAATGTACAAGCATAACATGCCTTACCAAACTGCAAGCACCAATGACTGCCGGGTTTGAAATACCACTGCAGCTCCAGCTTTCCACAATTGCAAACCCACGTGGACAAGAACACAAGGCAAACCAATGCGATGGATCAGTTTGATCAGTGATATTCAAAAAGAGATAAAGTTAGATATCACGGTGCCTGCAGTCATATATCAATAGTCTGAAATCTAAATTAAATCATTCACAGAAACATATATATATAATATATAAATATATGAATTTATAATTTATATGAATATGAATATGTGATCCGCCCATGTTACCCACGTTTCAATCTATTCATTCAATGCATGTCACAAAAATGCTGGCCGGTGGCTTCCTCGATAACGAAAGACTTGGGGTTCCTGGTTCGAAGCTTCTTCAAACATTCCTTCACAGTTCGAGCTCCAGGCCTCAGAGAACTTGTAAAGACAGAATAAATGCAGAATTAGAACGCTTGGTAGGGCATATTGTGAACTGTTTCGGGGCTCCATTCTTCAATGAGGGGAGCTCGATGACTGACTTTAACACATTGGTTTACCATCAATAAACTGCTGTAACAACTGAACTAGTGACTAGTGACTAATTTCAATTTATTTTCAGCCAACAACCAGTCACCAGTTGTTTTCTTGAGGAATGACATGACATAACTGAAAAAGCTAGCCAACATGGCAATGCATGCAGATTGCTTTTTCTGTTGAATCCAAGGGTCTCCAAGAAAGGGTTGTAACCCCTTTGAACAGTACGCGAGTTGAGCCTAGAAAACAGTGGGCAAGGTATGCCCATGACGGCGATGTCGTCCTTGGCTGCACGTGAATGCCGCAATTCCTGGTTACACAAGCTACGTTGTTTGCCAACTCCGCACTAAAGATATGTTTGAAGGGTTCTGAAGGAAAACTAGGCTAGATGATCTATATAGATGGAACTAATTGTGGCTGCACAAGTGGAGTTTGTTAGTGTTGCAGTTGCAGGCAAGCATCGTCTAGGCAAAGGCAACTGTGAACCTTGAAGCACACTTGGCAGTCGCCTCCCTCCTGATCCTCTGCCACATCTGCAAAGAAATGCTGCCCTTAGTTTGCAATTTGCGAACGCTGGAAACTTGATTTTGTTTCATATTTCAGGTTTCAGCTGGGTTGTAATGCAGGAAAGCTACATTCATAGTGCGTGACGTTCCAGGCTTGCAACCGCTTGTCGATCTCACTGCTGAACTCCATTGTGAACTTCAATGGTAAGACCCGCTCAATGACTTTTCTTAGGTTGGTGTGGCAACGGCAAGGGCAAAACAGCTAAGAATCAGAAAGTTGCTGTTAGCAGTTTAGTGGTCAAGCAGGGTTAAGTGAGAATAAACAGACAGAAGTTGAAAGCTGGACAACACTTATGGGCGTGGCCCATGGCCAGAAACACATTCCTTCAAGGATTCAGGAATTCAAGTTGTCTAATCAAAGCCTGGCTCATTTCAGTTCCACCTCGTGCCAATGGGAAAGCTTGGAATTCAGCAGCTTCCACAAATTAGCTGAGATTCGCAAGGTAAGCGGTCGTCCCGGCTCCCTCACAAGCTCCCCACACTGTTATCCTTGGATTTACAAGTCTGTCTCTGTCTATGTATGGTTTGAAGCCCAATGCCAAGGCCAAAGCAAATCTGAAAGGGGTTGTCCGGTTGTCCATGTCAAATGTGAACACGGCTAGCAGTCACGACTCAGCCTGGCTCTTTTTCAAACAGTATTGCTGCATGCACACGCCTGTAGCCTGTAGCCTGTTTGAAAACTGACCTCTCCCTACTGCATTCAATCAACTGGTTTTCTACACTTGCCAATGAAGGACAACAAAGTAGGTTATAAATTATAAATTATAATTAGTTATGTGATGTTACAATACATTGAATTGTAGTACCTGCACTGCTTGCTTGCATATCTCAACCCAAATAACTCAAAACTCAACCCAAATCTGCAGACTGGTCGGGGCACGGGCGTTGCTCGGCATAGCTCCTGAGAACCTTCAGGTCTTCTTCATCAATCCCAGCCAGGTCGAGATACCTGAGACAGGGTCACAGTCATACCAGCTGGCTGATCTGGCTAGGATTCTTTAGATCAGGCTCCATAACTCATCATTCTTGCATCAGTAAGTATGCGTTGTTTTGACTTCCTGTTAATGGCCCTGGACTCTACACACATCATATATCATTCTCATAGCTTATGTGAGTCCACTCAGTATGCTGAACAGTGCTGAGATGGTTTAGTCTATTTCAATAATATCATTATTATTAGGCGCAACTCTAAAGAACAAGTTACGCTGCCAGCCATACGTCCGGTAGGACACTCATCTGGGGGATTGGACGTTCAAGCCTCTCCTTAGTTTTGGCAAGAAGAGGTGAACCCTCAACACAAGTCCACTACCAGTAAACTTAGGGTACATGTGTGGCTGGACAGGGTATACTTGATGCCGTGACTCTCTGAGCATCTGTTGCCAAATCTTTTGGGCCCTTCCAGAACTTCCAGCCATAGCTGCCACAGTCGTTGGCCGGTGCTTGTGCTTGGGCCAATCAGCTGACAGCCCATCAGTGGTTTTTCTATAACAGAGCTTGCTCCAAAGAAGTGCAAGGCCCAAAGCCTTCTTTGTTACATGGATTATGCCACAAGGGCTTCTCAAAAGCCTTTCTTGTTACATGGGTTGTTCCACACAGGGATTTCCAAATGGACAAATAAAACAGAAACCACCATTTAAAGAGACCAGTTTTCATTCTAACATATACCGTCTATGTTATTCACTCCGGCACAACATACCCAAGAGGATTGATTCTCTTCTTTTTGCTTGTGTTCGCGGGTACTACAATGCACACACCCTGAAAGACCTAGAGGAGCTGAAATCTTACCTGTTTTTTCGCCCTGGCTGTTAGCTTCTTGTCTCTTCTCTCAACCCTGGTGCTTGGCACCATACTCACCTTTTCTTCCACCTCTTCTTCCACCTCGTCTGCATCTCCAGGATGAGGCCGACAAGAAGGCATTGCAGAGCGTGGTGGAGAACAACGCCGAGGGCCAGGCGTTGTACCGAGACTTGACCCACGACTTTGCACACCACGCGGACGTCTTCAAGAAGCTCCTTAGCTAAGGAGGAGGGGGAGGAGGAGGTTCTGAGGTTTAGCTTGTTGGGGAGGGTAGAGGATCATCACTTTTTCGGCCTAGGAACATCCTTAGCTTAGGCGTCGATTTATCAAAGGGTAGGAGATGGTCATAGAGGATAGAGGACTGTCCCCTTAGGCCCTGGGAACGAAATCGATCGAACCAAGTCTTCCGTCGTCCAAACTCGGAAGGACCTTCTGATCAGCCAATCCCCAGCCGATCCACGTTTGCCCGTTTGGTGCCTGCATGCAGCGCAGCTAGATTTCTCTTCAGAGATGTCAGACGCAGCTCTGAAACTCTTATGGGAATCCCATGCAGCTCTCAAGAGGTCGGACGATGAAGTCTGAGAACATGAGGTCCGACAGCCGAGGTCGGAATGGCCGACGTTGAAGACATTCTTTGTCTGTTCGCACGGTGAAACCAAGGTCTGCACATTCACTTACACGCGGTCGGTCTTCACTCCCAATGAGCATTCGCACGTGAAAACAAGATGTGAGTCGAAGAAGTACAGTCCGGTTGCCGGCAGCCAGCGTGCGTTTTTTGGCATGGCTAGAAAACGGTCACTCCTACTCTGCACAATCATTTGGACGTAAGCCTAGTAGCAATGGCCTCCACCTCCACCCTAGTAGCGATGGCCTCCAACCTAGAAGCTTCTCGCGTCATTTCTTCATGCTTTATCCTTTTGTCTCCGTTGTCAGACTTGTGGCCTGCCTACCATCAACCTAAGATACCGAAAAATGTGACAGCTACAGTTCAAGTCGTTCCGATTACATGGATATGATATAGGTGCCTGTCTGTTGTACAGTGATATTGTACTGTATAATTCCTGTATCAGCCATCATGTATCAGCAATGTGTCACTCCATTTGGCGCACCGCACCAAGCACACCAACCGCCCTATCGAGGTTCAAGAGCGCGCGGCCACCCATCGAGCAATTGTTGAACATGATCCCTGTCCTGAAGCCCCGCAGTGTTTTGGATGCAGTGGCACGGCGGATTCGCGGTTTGCAGTTCCAGCTCCTAATCAGGTTCCATGAACTTGGCTGGCGGCTTGGTCCGCATGTGTTGGATGGCCCTGAATAAAACAAAAGCAGAAGCGGCTGTTGCATTTAGGCTCCTATGTTCTACAAGTATGGAGGTTCTTCCCTCTCCATGTTTCCCACGACCCTGCCCGGCTTTGGTCACCCCAAAGCAAAATCTCCGAAGTCGTCAAGTGACAAGTGGTCCTCACCTGGTAGTGAATGTTCTCCCAACCTTTACTTGGGATGATTGAACCCACCGACTAAAAATTTTCAAGTTGTAACCACCAACCAGGGTGTCATTTTCCCCAAACTTCTTCATCAAGCTCTTCCATGCATGGGTGCTCTTCCGCCTTCAAGAGGGGAGCGGGTGTTTTTTCAGCCTTCGATGTTGGAACGGGACTGAACGGTCTGTTTTGGTGACACTCACGGATACTCGTGGGACTGGCTCACAAGGCATCAACGGATGGTCAGATTTGGGGTGTAGTTACATGCAACAAGGCTTTTGCTGCTATTTACGTACGGGTATGTGCATGCGGATCACAAGCTCACCTTAGCTTAGATGATGTTTTGAGTCTTCAGCAACCAAAAGGCACGGCTCGTTGACTTTTCTTACTCCATTGCCGAGTTTGTCATCGCGCTGAGGCTACTCCATTGCCAGCTCACCGTTGATGCATGCGGACAAGATCCAGCCGCTTCGTTTGCAGCTGAGTTCGTTTTGTTCAGGAACCACAGGAGGAAAGCCTGAGTTTGTTTTTTTGTTTGGAGGCAAGTTCTGATTCCAAGGGACATTCTCACAAGGAGTGTATCTCTTGAGGCGAAGCACCTGGTGGAAAACCCATGAAAACCAGCGACACGCGCAGTCCTCAAGTTGACTCAAGGGCCCTTGAGTTTGCAAAACAGACCCCAAGATGCTACTGGAACTCTTTTCCACAAGAACGCTGCTACTGTATCCTCTGTTTTTCCGAAAAAGAACAGTTCCCAGCCAAAAGAGCGGATGAAGAGAAAAAAAAACACCTGATGAACTTGCAGACCGGGTCTCCAAGAACGTTGAATAGTTGACGAACATGACTCGATGTCAAGTTCCTCGCAGTTTTACTCGTCCCTCAGATTGCGGGACGTGTTGATTGCATTGTTTCTATGCGATCAACACTTCCTCTGGCCATCTAGAAAGACCTTGCTGCGTCGACCTAAACAAGTACCTCTGACCACAAGTACCACAAGTACCTCTGACCTTCTTGCAGTGTTATTAGGCCTTGTGCGCGTGTGCTTGTGTAGGACATCTTGGCCCAGAAGCTGTTTGATCCATGTGTCCTTTTGGAGCTTTCTTGTTCTAGCAGCATGCTGCAGCATGCTTTTCTAGTTTCGGTGCAATCTTGGATGATTCCACGATTTAGTGGAACGTATGGTCCAAAAGCCCCTTGAAAAAGAAACAAAAGGGCTCAAAATGCCCGTTCTCTTAACCTAAGAGTTCATGAGCATCACCCAATGGCAGGGAAGGTGGTGGGTCCTGTCCACCGTTGCAGATTTGCAATGCCAATATACACTCCCGAAAACTCACATAGACCCTGACGTCCTGGCCCCCTGGAAGAGTGTTTTCCTCTACCATGGGATCGTCTTCCAGGGTGTAGTTAGTTACTTCAGAGATCTTCATGAGCAGTTTTGTCCCCCATGTTTGGCCACCAAAACTGGTCAGCCAGTGGAACACAACACATTCACATCCCCATGGGTCACAAACTCTCAGCATCATTCGTGATGTGTTCTGCCCCGGTCAGTCTTCAGTTCGTGTTCGGGGTCGCTGATGGCCGCGAGTCGAGCGCGTCAGGCTGTGCGTGGTGTTGGTGGATTGGACGGTCGAAAGCACCAAAGAGCTTCGTTTGGGCGAATGCACAGGCGAGGCGCCCGGACGTTCGGGTGGCTCGGGGTGGCTTGTTGATCAAGGGCTGGCAGAACTGGTCTTCAGATGTCTTCAGGATCCAGCTTGGAGGCTCTCCAGAAAAACCAGAGCGGTCCGGCGCCATAGTTACATATGACAGTTGAGATTCACATCCACATCAGTTTGTGTCTAGAGTCTAGGGGATGATTGCTGGAACCTAGATGATGAGCCCCCGGGTAAAGCACAGAGCCTGGACCGTGCAAGTCCTTGACTACACCAGCTTGTCCAGCTGACAACAAGCCGCTCAGTTTCTTCTTTCCGCACACGCTTCGCCTGTCAAGCTTCTCCACCTGGCCATGTCCTTGGCCCTGGTGTGGGACAGGGCTCAAGCGCAGTGAGTAAATAGAGGTGGAACACGGCGAAAGCTCAAGCAGAGCTGCATTTGCAAAACCAGGGCAACAAAGGCAAAATCAGGAACGAGAGAGGAAAGAGAGGGGGGCAGGCCATTGCGGATCATTGCGGGTCCTTGAAGAAACTCACCCGGATCAATCGCGTCTAGCTTTTGGGCTCCACCGCGTGCTGGCTCCACCCGACCATGCTCGCGGCCCCGGTCGCTCCGCGCATGCTCGAGGCTACATGCGACAGCAGAAGCCGGGCGCCACCATGATGTGCGCGGTGCGGCAGAGTGCCATTGTCTTGCCGAAGGCCTCCAGACACTCCTGAAACGTGGGTCGACCTGGGTTAACTGCGGAGAAACATCGATGACGTTGAATCACCAGACCCGAGAAGTTAGAACAGTCTTGTGCGGAGTTGGGTGACTTCGGCTCCTGCTAGTAGCTGGAATGGTTCATGAAGAAGAAGTGAAACCATGCTTGCAGATCACATGATGTTTTTTGCAATCAAAGGAAGACGCCCCTATGTTTGGAGCCTTGCCCTTGAACCACCAAAACCACAGAAATAGGTAGCCGCTGGGGAAATCGACTGATAGTATATAGTGATAGTGACTAAATAGACAAGACGCTCTCAAAGGACCGGACGCTCTCTTGGACGCTCTCGGCTCGCCCATGTCCCATCCCTGCCAGGTGTCGGGTCGCACGAATGGGCGTCCTTCGTGACGTTTGGCTTACGTGGTGTGTCCGTTCAGCGAAGGTGCGAAGCGCCCCGCGGGGACGGGCGCCAGGATCCAAGCAAGCCGGTGATCATGGCGGGCATGGGCACTGGTCTTGCTCCATGGCGCGCCGTCACACAGGAGGGGGAGCATGCGCCCATAGGTTGAACGTGGGGAAGGCAGAGAGGGCTGATGTGGGTCCCTGAATTTCTCAAGGAGTTAGTCAGTCCTTCTCTCTCGAAACAGAAACACTCATGCTGCACCAGACCAGCGATCCCGGTACCGGGTCTGCCCAGTTTGTTTCATCTACGTCTCGCAGCACCCTCCTGACGATGGGATGGGAGAAGCTCGCCATCAAAGCGGGCACTAGAGTTGGAAGATATCCCACTCTTGACAGGTGTTTTGTGGGAAGCATGCTGCCAGGCCGTTAGAGTGTGGATTGGCCCCTGTCATTCGTCCATCTGCCGTGGTGTGCATGCCTGAGTCCGGCGACCAGGAGCGTGTTTGTCAAAATCGACAAGGCCTCAAAGTGGGCCCTTGCCACCTCTTCTTCGGCGCCCGCTACAACGCGGAGACCGGGGGGAACACGAGGGTCTGGCGGTGGAGAGGGGATATAAGCGGTCAGAAAGAGGTTTGAAGGAGTTGAGCAAGTTGAGCAAAAGACATTTCGGTCTATTGAGTTCATGTCCTTAAACGGACCTGGCATGAATAGCCCTATGAGGGGTTGGGTGTCCGGTGGTTTTCGTTTTGTGAAGAGATTGGGCACCTGTGAAGTGGTACCTGGCATGGCTCCTCCCTTGAGAAACTATTTTGAGGTATACCGTCACCGCTCAATGTTTTTTTTCTAATTTTGTTTGAACATATTTGAGAAAGGGGGGTGGGTGGTGGGGACCCTTGTATTTGCTTACGACTGGGGTATAGGTATCCAAAAACAAGTTTGTTTGTAAAGGTACATGAGGACCGTCCGTTATTGCCAGTAAAGGAATTATGATGATCTGATGACATGTTAAAACAACCATTTTTTTTCAAACCACCTGTGAGGATATCTCAAATAATTAGGGGTGGGGGGTGGGGGGGGGTGGGATACCTGCAAAATAGTGTCTATTATAGGTGGGGGACCACTTCTCCCCACCCAGAAGGTAGGGGGCATTACCTGCCAAACCCTCCATAAAATGCAATCTACAGTCGCCAAATTGTCTTAGTTTCTAAGTCACTAAGTCTTAGAGGCTGCCTAGGCCTGTTTGTTTGGCCAATCCTGTTCCAGGTATGGAACTATTCCCTAACACTTGGGAACTATTCCCTAATACTTGGGAACTATTCCCTAATACTTG